GGCCAAGAGATGGTTTTGATCATCTGTCTCTCTTGTCTAACTTTCACTACTTGTTCATAGTAGAGAAGATAAGCACTATACCAAATAAAATTAGACTCCGTTTCCCTTGGATCTTGTGGTTACTTTGGAAGGAAAAGTGTTTTTTGCTCCGGATACCATTGATAAGATAACTGATGAAATGAATCAATGGTTTATGGCTCAAGAAATGGAATTGGTAAGTGAGATTATGCCTGATCCATTGGCTGTTTTTGTTAAGGAAAATTGGAAGCGGCCTCCAGACCCATGGTTGAAATGTAATGTTGTGATGTCTTGGTCCAAACGTAATGGGTTAGGAGGATTCTCATGGGTCTTGAGAGACTATAATGGAGTGGTTTTGTAGCACATTAGAAGGGCATTTTCAGGAATAAGGGAAGATGCTAGACTTAAAAGTCTATTGTGGGTGATTGAATGTATGGGTTATCAAAGGTGACCATGTTATCTTTGCTTCTGATGCTGTTGACCTGGTTAAGGCTATTCATAGGCTTACTGCTTGGGCCTCTTTTTGTTATCACTTCTCTGAGTTAGTGCTGGAATTGGAGAAGATTCATGAGTGGAGAATGGTGTTTGAGGGTAGATTGTGTAATTGTAGTAGAACCCAATATGGAAACACATGCACTAGAATCAACATAAAGTATTTAAGACACACTTAAAATATTTCCATTAATACAAATGTAGCATTGCTACAAGCAACTCATGTTGCACGAAATCCAGACTGCACACTCTTACAAAGATGGGATAAAACTCTCAACCTAGTCTACCCAAGAACTCACGACATCTTACACAACAAGATTTGTGCTTATCCAACTGTTCCTAATATACCCAGAAGAAACAGTAAACATGTTTTCTCACACACACTCTTTGTTCTTGAGTTCTTATGCACACATCCTCTCTCAATCACTCTACTGATTTTTTCTTCCAAAAAACTAACTCTCGAAGCCTCCTCTGCAGTCCCATTATATTGGTTCTCCACTAACCAATATTTCTGAAGAGGCATGTTTCGGATTGGCAGACAATCTACTAGTCTTGCGCAGAGAAACATTGTTTCACCTATCACTTCACTTTGTACAACAAGCCAACCTTATGCTTTTTGCCTTTTGCATAAGGTCACTTCCTTGTTAGCTTAACCAACTTCTGTACGATCTCTCCCCTACTTGCGTTCCCATGGCTCGAGACACTCATTGTTATTCACATGTGGGATGTTGACTTCACACGTGTTACACCTTCAGCTTTGCTCGTTCTCCTGTGTAGCACATGAATCCTCACATCTTCTTTGATCCTTAGTTGTCATCTTTGATGCATCTACAATCCCCCCCCTTTTTACTTGAGTATGTCAATCCAAGCAACATGTCTAAACATAACGCACACAGAGGGTAGATACAATCTTTTTAGTGAAATCACCTCAGTGATGTCCACGATCATGTTCAACAACAGTACCAAAATAGAGCCATAGTATGAAACCACCTCAATGAGTTTCAAGACCGTATTCACATGTATGTTGGACTGATCAAAAGTATTCAAGCAAAAAATAAATCAGCGCCATAAGCAACACAAATACCAAATAGAATCACTTATAAGTTATGAAACAGAGGAGTTCGAGACTAGGTTCAATACTTAACAACACAAACACTCCTAAGACAAGGTTCCAGACTTAAGAGATTCTAACAGAGATAAGTACCGAAAACACATAAGAAATAAGTTTTTAAAGATTCAGAAACACAGTAGGGACAAGTAATCAGATCGACTGAGAGGAATCAGGAGCATCAGGTACAAGTAAGTAGATCGACTGAGAGGAATCATGAGCATCAAGTTTTGTCTTTGATGTGCCAGTCCCATCATGTTTCCTTACACCACTGTGTTTCACCAGAGCGCGCTCCCCCTTAGTCGTACTCACCACTTCACCATTTTTGTTGACAGAAAATCT